CCTTAGAGCATCTGTGGAACCATTTCATTCTCTTTGAGTTTTATTTTTCCACAAACTGAAGCCCTCTCATATTCACAGAAAAATAACAGAAAGATGCTATTACTACCAAAATGCTAATAGTGAGTACTAGTGCTGGCGCTGTGAGTTAAAGGAATTCTGTTCTTTGGTGATTTCCATATTTTTTCAAAGTGTTCTGTATTGAACATGAGTCAATTTTATTATCAGAGAAGGCTGAATAGATAATATATATTTAGAAAATAATGAAAGGAAAGAATATTTTGTAGAATAGTTCAACAGCTTTTCTTTACAGAAACACATATCCTAACTTATGTAAATTTCATGTCAACTTGAAAATCACAATTTTGCATATCACAAGAATCATTCATTGTTGTTGTTATTAAGTGTCCTCAAATTGGTTCCGACTCATAGAAACCTTGTATAGGGTTTCAGAGGAGCAGTTGGCAGGTTTGAACTGAGGTTCGCAATGCAGTGCTGATCCTACAGCACCACACCAGGAATCCAGAAGCATCAATAGGTGCTAAAGTACTTGGGTCAACGGTGATTGGAGAACAGAGTATTCATAGGGTCACAAACCTGCATCTTTATGATAGTGAGAAATGGTATCCACCTCTGCAGGCATAGGGTCAACATTGTCAACACCAGCGGTGAGACAGTGTTTTCCCTGATGGGATGAAAGCACAAATACACAACAGCACTAAGGAAATGTCCATGCAAGAGAATGTTTATCCTAAATTTCATCATTAGGTAATGACAGTTAAATCTAGCATTGTTTTATAAGACAACAGGCTTCTGCTTTGGAAACATATCCCTCTTATGGACAACAGAAAAGGTGGTACAACTGCTTTATATTCAGTAATTAAAAGAGATATGAGAACCACCTAAATGCATGGACCTTGATTGAGTCCCAGGTTTACAAGAGCTATAAAACACTGGTTTTGGTCACAGTTGGGAAAATACCAATAAGGCCTAGGTATTACAGAAAATTATGAAGTTGTATCTAATTTTCTTAGGTGTGATAATGATATTGTAATTATTCAGAGGAATGTCTTACTCTTAGAAGAGACATACTAAAGGAAAAAGTGTCATACTGTCTGCAATTTATATAAAATTGCAGAAATAAAAAGTGAATGAGGCAAAATGTTACTAATAGGTGAGTACAGTACAAATGATGGTATTTACCACACCGAACACGTTGCCATCGGATCAGTTCTGACTCATAGTGACCCTATAGGATAGAATAGAATTAGCCCATAGGGTTTCCAAGGCTGTCATCTTTACCAAAGCAGAGACTATGTCTTTCTCCTGCAGAGCAGCTGGTGGGTTTGAACTGCTGACCTTTCTGTTAGCAGATGAGTGTTTAGCCACTGCGCCACCAGGGGTCCTCATATAAGTTTTACTATTATTTCACAAGATTTTGTAGATTTAAAACTATACAAAATTACAAGTAGGGACAAAAGTGTTTGGCTAAGAGGTGGAGGCAGAGACGATGACATGGAGAGATGGAGTGACTGGGGACTCTGAACTCAGGGAGGGAGAGGGGCTGTGTGCTGAAGGCTGGGGGGGGGGCAGGTTTGCAGGGTGTACTCTTTGGTTGTTTGAATGGTTATATATTCCTGAGTGCTTTGGTATACATCCAAAACAAAACAAAAAAACCCAAAAAACAGAGGGAATGGAAGTAAACGCTGTTGAATGATGATGCATGGAGGGGATTGTAATCATTGCAATGAAATATGATAGGATGAATGTAAAGCTGATGTTCTCCCATATAAACTATCACTCAATTCACAATAAAAACTTAAAAAAAGAAAAAAAATAACAGCTAAAAAAAAAGCCATGTTTGGCTAATTACAAAGTGTTCTATAAAAAACGCCACCATTATTTGTAGTAACAATAAAAGTATTTAGAAAACAGGAAAGTTTCCCTTACCATGTGTGGACAGTGGAGATAGGCAGACTGGTTTCGTTTGACATGAATTGCAATATTTCCTTCTTCTCCTGGAGATAGGATATTTGAGTTTTCATCTACAATCTGAAATGAGAAAATCATTACAAAGAGCTTCCCTTTGAAAGAATTTGTACCATTCCTGAAACCCCAAAGATCTAAACTCAAGACTCACTATCCTTTTCAAGATGCCAGGGAACTGCTTGGTGGATGTACTTGGAGACTGGGCAGTCTCAGAGGCAGCATGGTCCAGCGATCAGTGTCAAGGGAAGGGGCCACTTTCTAACATGAGAACCTTGGATTGTTTACTTTGCTTCTGTGAACCTTGATTTCCTTATCTAGAAAATGAGAATCTCAAAAGGGGCTACAGTATAGCTTTGTTGTGAGGATCAAATAAATAAATGATATAAAAAGAAACAAATGGTTAAATAAATTAATTAATGATTTAGGTAACGGATTCCAGTGTCTGGCTAAGGCAAATCTACAAGAAAACTAGGACTTCCAGGGAAGGCTTTTCAAACCAAAATACTGAGTCAGCCATCTTGTGTACAAGAAAAGTAATACAAAGAATTCATATTAAAAAGATACGTGACGATTACCCAGCTGAAAAGTAGCCTGTCTCCTTTCATATCCAAGATGTCTGACTCCAGAGTCCTTACTCTCAACCACAATGCAGACTAATACACTTAAAAAAAAAGTTTCTCCTCTGCCAAGCAACAATGCTGTATTTCTTCTTTACTATTTATTCTAAAATGTTACCAAAAGTCTGGAAAAATACTCTGTAAATCACACTGGCTGGTGCTATAAAGATAAAAGAGACAAGGACTTAATTCTGTGAGAGACTGACATCCCCTACTGGCAATGAGTATTTTGTGGGCAGGGGATGATAAAAATACTTTCCTGCTAGAGGTATGGCCATGAGCAAATCAAATAACACTAAGTGCTAAAGACAGTGTTTGCCACTTAGTAAGATCTCACCTAGCAATAACTGTCAGAATCATTACAATGGTGACTTACCTGGATGATATAAGGTGGCAACGGTTTTCCCAGAGAACCTGGCTTCAGTTTTATTCTTTTAGAAGCAGCACAGAGCAGCCCCTATTTAAGAAACGCAGATAACATTCATTTTTGCCTTCAAAAAAGCTGTGTCTGTGTCTGTCGACTAGAAAGGTACCTCTATTTTGAGCTTTTGTGGGGGCCTTCAGAGACAAGAAAACATACTGGTGTTGCAGAAACACATCTGTGGCTCCCAGAGATTAAGGTACAAATATTTTTTGTTGTTCCCCACACTCCCTTGGTGACCAGAGGTGAGACCAGTCTCCACTCATGAATACCGTAGGGAAGCTCCCACTCTCCTGGTGGTCAGAGGGTGGTTGTGGGCACCATTAAAGGAGTGGGTATGGATCCCATTCAGGCGGGCCCTGCTTCTGATTTGCAGAATTGGCCCTGGCCAGCCCTGGACTAGCCCTCACTAGGAGAAGTAGCTGAACAGATGTGTGGGGGAGAAAAAAAGAAAAAAGATACTGGATGTCTGTGCAACCGGCCAACTGCGGGTGGCCAACTTTGAAGAGGGCAGTAGGTGGAACAGAGGCTAACCACATATTGGTGGAGGGAAAGGGCTGAAATGTTTTTTGTTGTATTTTCTTGTCCTCCACATTACCTTGATGACCAAAGGTACGGCTGGCTCCATCTGCATATATTCCCAGGGAAGCTCTGCTCTCCAGGCTGTCAAAGTCACATCAAAGTGTGTGGGGAGCTTGCTGCACCAACCCCAGCACCTGGAACCAGGTGTGGTCTATTCCAGACCCACTGAACCGGTTCTGGTCAGCCCTGGACTAGAGAGACGCTTTACCCTTGGCACCCATCCTAGTTGGAAATACCCTGATCCCTTAGCTGTCTTGGAGTCTGCTTCTGGATTGGGTTCCCAGAACAGAAAAACACCTAGTCCTACAGGAACTCCCTCTAGGGTTCATTCAGCATTACTGTCTCATCCCTTACCCACCCATGACGTGAAGTCCTGGCATGGCAGGAAACCCTATGATTTTCTTTTCTCTGGGTCTGGCACCTGCTCTGTTTGTTTGTTTTTTATCCCCCTTTCTTTGTTTTTGTTTGCTTATTCTTTCTCCCTCACCTCACTTCCTCACTTTCTTGCTTTCTACACTATCTATCCTTTCATTTCTTCTTTGTTGCTTCTCTTTTCTGTTTCTGCTTCTTTCTTTCTTCTTCATTTTTTTAAAACTACTCCCTGGTCTCTTTCCCTTTACTTTCTCTCTCTCCCTGATTGTGTTTATGTCTTTTTATTTCTTTTTACTTCTTTTATCTCTTTTATTTTTCTCTTATTATTATTATTTTTCCTCTCTTTCTTTTCTCTCTTTGGTTTTTGTACCCTTTTTCTAACTGTTGCCTGATTTAAAAAAAAAAATAATTTTTTTTGCTGTTGTTTGCTGGTTTGTGTTACTCTTCCTTCTCTCCTGGGTGTGTTTTTTCTTTTTTCTGTATCCAACAGAAGATAGCAACTGTGTCTATATAGCCCAGACACAACCGTACCCTCTGCTGTCCTCCACATTGGGCAAGAACCAATACCACCCCCCTCCACATACAGAGTGGGCAGAGATGGGCAACTTCGACACTGGATACCCAAATGGGGAGGAGGGGACTACAAAGGCAAGAAGTGACTGGCTTACAAGCTTTCAAGAGGGAACCTAGAGCTAGGGGGCATGGAGGAAGGCAGAATCTCCAGTGAGTACTGTCCAATCTGTCTAGCGCGGAGCTGATGAAATGAAATACAGATGGGTAACTCGTGATACTGTAGTGAACAGTGGTTATCAGGACTGATTATGAGGGTTGGAAGTGCAAAAGTAGACGTTTTATAGCAAGGAAGGGAGTGATTATTTCTCGAGTCTAGGAGCAGAGGTCTCTAGGACCATCAACAGAGAAGAGCCAAGAGCGGGACCCTACCCAGAGAACCAGAGATCCCTGAGATGGAGACAGAGACGATGACGTGGAGTGATGAAGCAGCTGGGGACTTTGGATCCAGAGAGGAAGAGGGCCTGTGGAGTGAAGACTGGGGGTGGGAGTGGGGGTGGGGAGGGTAGGAGTGAAGGTTTCTAGGATATACCCTTTGGTCGGTTGATGATGCATGAAGGGAATTGGAACCATGGCAATGAAATGATATACGATGGAATGAATGTGGGACTGAAGTTCTCTCATGTAAACATGTAAACTATCATATAATTCACAATAAAACATTAAAAAAAAAAAAAAGAAGAACTGATACCACCTACTGTATACCACATAAACGACAACAGCCAACATCAGCTAAATTCATGAAATGCATGAAGAGCAAACAGAATGGCTCACAGGTTCATCTCCTGATCACACCCACTAGGAGGCAGTTGGTTGAGTGCCTAAGAAGACACTAACATACAGTCATCAACTTAATACAAATGCAGCAACACCACAGTGTCTTGAGAGCTGTAGACAGTTTCTGTTCACATGAAGAAACAAGATGGAGTGACTCAACCAGAACTAGGAAACATTCCTGAGGGAAAAAAGACATTAGAACTACCTGGAAAAGATTGACAATGATTGACAGAAAAGGACAAGGAAAACAAGGAAGTATTCATGAAAGCACTATAGGAATAATCAAAGAAAATAGATAAAGGATTGGAGATAATATAAAACCTATAAATAGAAATCTAGAATATTAATATTAAAATGTCAGAAATGGATAATAAATAGAAAGGACTAAGTAGCAGATTTGAATCAATGGAAGTCCAAATTAGTGAGCTTGAAGATTGTCTCTCAATATTAGCAAGGTAGAAGAACAATCAGAAGAAAGAATGAAAAAATCTGAAGAAAGCCTAAGATTCATGTGGGACAACATGAAGAGGAATAACTTAGGAGTGATAGGAATTCCAGAAGAGGAAGACACAAAGAAAAGCACAGGAAAGATAGTTAAAGAGCTGGTGGAAGAAAATGTCTCTAGTATCATGAACAATGAAAAGATAAAATTTACTACACAGCTACAGTGGTCAAAACAGTTTGGTATTGGTACAATGAAAGACACATTGATCAATGGAACAGAATTGAGAACTCAGAAATAAATTCATCCGCATTCAGTTAGCTGATTTTTGACAAAGGGCCAAAACACATTAAATGGGAATGAGATAATTTCTTCAACAAATGGTGTTAGTAAAACTACAAATCCATTTGCAGAAGAATGAATCAAGACCCACATTTCATGCCACATACAAAAATAAACTCAAACTGGATTAAAAACCTAAATGTAAAACCTAGAACAATAAAGATCATCAATGGAAAAATAGAAACAACCTTAGGGGCTTTAATACGTGGTATAAAGACTCTATCAAATGGTATTAAAAACACATTCTGACTGGTAACCACGTTGGTCACCAATAAGGGGAAGTGAGGGAAAAATAGCAATGAAGCTGTGAGCTAAGTCCTACCATGTTCAATAGACTCCTGTGGACCTGGGTGGAGACCTGGTTGGCCAGCAGTACGGCAAGACCTGGGGACTCTTGGGCCCAGAGTCAGTGACATAGCCACAGAGGACTAGAGTGGAAAGTGAAGCGTCTAGCTAATAAGAAGAGAGGGCATATGCACAAGAACACCCACACTTGCAGAGAATACCCACTTCACCAGGCTTCAATAGCTGGACGATCAGAACTCAACTAGAAGAAGAAAGAAGAGGAAAACAAGAGTAATCTGATACAATTTGATGAACTTGGAGGCAGAGACAATGATGTGGAGAGATGGAGTGGCTAGACCCAGAGAGGGAGGGCCTGTGTGTTGATGACCGGGGGGCAGGTTTGTAGTGTATACTCTTTGGTTGGTTGATGATGCATGGAGGGGATTGTAACCATGGCAGTGAAATGATACACGATAGGATGAATGTAAAGCTAATGTTCACCATGTAAACTATCACATAATTCACAATAAAACATTAAAAAAAAAGTACCATGGACTGCCAAAAGAACTAACAAATCTGTGTTGGAAGAAGTACAACCAGAATGCTCCTTAGAAGCCAGGATGACCAGACTTTGTCATTCTTCGGACATGTTATCAGGAGGGACTAGTCCCTACAGAAGGACTTCATGCTTGGTAAAGTCAGCAAAAAGAGCAAGACCCCCAACTAGATGGCTCATCGCAGTGGGAACAGCCCTGGGCTTAAGTGTACCAATGATTGTGAGGTTGGCCCAGGACTGCGCAGTGTTTCATTCTGTTGTGCTTAAGGTCACTGTCAGTCAGTACTGACTCGACAGCACCTAACAACAAAACCCATAAGAACGTTGAGACTAATTCTTTTAGAAATCTTGTAGCCAACCAAATCTATCACTCCTAAAGTTCCTGTTATCCCAGAGTATTTCTCCTATCTTGATTTCTCATAGTCATAGTGCACCAACACTTTTTGTTCCTTGACTCTTCCTTTCTCTCCGAAACCTTTTCATGGCATACTCGAGATACATCGGTGGAGTGATGTCATGGATTGAATTGGTGCCGTGGTTCTCAGTGGTGTGGCAGTTATGTAATGGCCCCCATGACGTGATCTGATGTCATAAACCATTAAGAAGATTAAGGGTGAGATGTAACACTCTTAATCCTGCTAATACCCTGATGTAACAAGAGGTTCTCTGGGATGTGGCCTGCGCTATACCTTTAAACCTATAAAAGATAAAAGGTGAAAGAATCAAGCAGAGATCAGAAAAACAGCAGTAGCAGAACCAGGACACCAACACAAGACCCGTGGAGGGCGAGAGTTGAGTGTCTTCAGGCAGGAGCTAGTCTTTATTTCCTGGGACAAGAAAACTGAGTACCTTAAAACTGAGAGTTATTGGTGGAGTACTTGCCTCCAGGTCTCTATCAGTAGAGCTAAAGCTAAAGCGCTTTGTAACACTTGCTTTATTTAACAGGACAAAGCCCAGGCTGGCCTCTTCAAGAAAGCAAAACACCATGCAGCAGAAGCACAGTCGCCCTGACATCAAAAGGTAGGACCATGACCTTTGGGTTCTCAAAGGGTGGGACGTGGCTTCTGGGGTTTCTAAGAGTGGTGGTGGGGGGTTCACAGCTTCCTAGATTTCAAAGAGTTGCATATTTATTAGTTTGTTTCTGGACTGTGGAGCTGCTGTTAAAATGCAGCCATAGCTGCCCAGCCCATAGGGCCAGAAGAACAGGAAGTGCTGGGCCAGGGTGCTGGGTCATCCATCAGGAGGACTGGGGGAATGGTGCTTCTCAAAGCTCAGGAAGCAGAGCTGCCATTCAGTGGGCCTGGATGGCAGAGCTGAAGCCCAGGCTTGAGGGTTCTGTACTCAGAAGCGAGTGTGCAAGGCCAATACCCAGAGTCTGGAGGACAGACATTTCTTAGATGGTCTCAAAGAACAGAGGATTGCTGTCAAGCTCTGAGAGCTAATGTAAAGTATTCTGCGGCCATTTCACTTGCTTAGTGCCTGTTGTCCCTTCTTTCCCCGCAACTGCTCCTATTTGTAGTGGGAATATCTATCTGGTGCCTGTTCCATCATTGCACTTGGGAAGCAGATAACTTGTATTGTAGATTCACAGAAGAAGAGAAATCTTGCCCCTGCTTGGAGTGTGAACTTGGAAGACTTTGGGGATGATATGATGGGATGAAGATGTTCTGCATATGGCAAGGGCATATATTTTGGAGGGGCCAAAAGGTAGAGTGCCATGGATTGAATTGTGATCTTTAAAATATAAGGACAGGGTTTCAAAATGTTCATGAAAAAGTTGACTTAAAAGATAATAGAATTTCCCCACAAATTCTCAGAAGCCTCCTCATGTGTCCAGTTGGCAGACCACGAATCTCAGTGGTTTGGCAGATATGTAATGATTCCCATGGTGTGATCTGATGTGAGGCACCAATAAAAGCACTGAAGTGTGGGATATAACGCATTCAATCCCATCACAGCCTTGATGGGGTGTGGACTGTAGTACCTTGTATTTTACAAGAGATAAAAGGAGAGAGAAACAAGCAGCGATCCGAGGGACCTACTACCACCAAGAAAGAAGAGCCAGAGTGGAGTGCATTCTTTGGGGTCCCTGCACTGATAAACTCCTAGAACCAGGGGCTGTTTGATGCTAAGACACATGCTGGACCTACAGATGCTGAAAGGAGACAAGAACCTGTCCCCAGAGCCAACAGAGAAGAAAGCCTTTCCTCTAGACATGGTACTGTGAATTTGAACTTCTAGACTCCCCCTAGAGATGGTACTGTGAATTTGAACTTCTAGACTCCCCCTAGACATGGTACTGTGAATTTGAACTTCTAGACTACCCCTAGAGATGGTACTGTGAATCCAAACTTCTGGGTCCCCATCTTGTATCTGGCTCATCCTCCTCTGGATTTGAGCCAGTGGCCTTCTCTATTACATTCCAATCCTGGGTGTCCTTAGCAGCCTGCCTTCTTACCTGCCTGGCTGGTATCTGACCTGCTGATTTTAGCTCATCAGCCCTGCAGACACATAAGTCAGAAGTCTCCAGTCTGACATTTCACCCATGGATTTGGGACTGACCACCTCCAGCTGTTCCTTGGAAACCCTACACAGGGTCGCTATGGGTCAGAGCTGACTCAAAGGCACTTAACAACAACAACCTCTATAAATGTGGAAGTCACTTCCTTGATACAAACCTCTTTTTATATAAATATATGTTGTTGTTGTTAAGTACTGTTGAGTTGGTTCCGACTCATAGCAGCCCTGTATAGGGTTTCCAAGGAGTGACTGGTGAGTTTGAACCACTGACCTTGTAGTTCAAACCATATACATATATAAGATTCCTGGATTTTTCTTTTTTAGAGAACCCGGCCTAATAGACTCACCTAAGAGGCAACCACTGTTAATAGTTTCTTATGTCTGTTTCCAAAGATGTTCTTGATGTGGTATTCAGTGGTTCTTGATGGGGCTAACTATATAACAGATGAGAAAATCAAGACAACTCAGGGAAGAATTTCCTTCCAAAGGGCTCATGATTGTAGCTAGCGGGATGTGAAACAGGAGAATAGGACTGGGAGGAATTAAAAAAAAAAAAAAAAAAGCTTCCTATAGAATATGGGTATAATTCTTCCCTTCTAGTCCCCAGCCAGGAGTACGGTCACTGTATGAGATAAGCACTGGACTGTGAATCACAAGGTTGGCAGTTTGAGCACACCAGCCACTCTGTGGGAGAAAAATGAGGCTTTCTGTACAGCCATGGAAACCCTTTACATGTCCTGTATGAGTCAGAATTGGTTTCTGTTTGTTAAAGTCATCCATCCACTTGTGGTATTTCTGTTAAAGCAGTACTAGAGAACTACAACAAGTGGCTTACAAATTCTTCTGCATCCACATCTTCTCTATCCTCTGTACCAAATGCTCTCTTCATTATTTGTCATTACAGAGCCCTAACTCTTTCATGAAGTTATGACTTCTACCTTTCAAGTGGAGACTTGACTCTTCCATACTCCTGGAGTTCGACATTTGTTAAGCTCCCAGTACTATTTCCGGACAATCACATCTCTAATTCTATGTGCAGTCCCTTGTCTCTTTGATACTCACACCATTTACCTCTACCACCTTCTAGAAATCGTGGTTGCTTATTTACCAACCTCCCAGTCACTCCTTTAGCATAGGAGTGAAAGCCTTTAAGCATAGGATTCAATGTCTTTGCTTTTATTCTATGTCCTACCATCATCCTGACTCCTACATCTAGATGGATGATCAGTCTTATACTGTTAAAGCCTTTAGCATAGGATTCAATGTCTTTGCTTTTATTC